TGAGTGCTGCAGGTTACTGGATGGCAGGGCCACTGTGCAGCTGCCCCCACCACCCTCCCAGACACCTTCAGACATCACTCAAGGACAAAGGGTTCATCTGGCTTGACATCTTCTGAATGGTACCAAAACACCCTTATGATTCCAGATGGGCAAAGCCAAAGCCTTTCCCTGAAAAACTGCTGTATTAAACAGTTTTGACATATACAACAGTGTTTCCCCAGCATCACCCAAAACATTTATTGCTTTCATCTATCTCACAGTTGGATTTTGTAATTCACTGCAAAATATATCCCATACATTATGGTCTCTTTTTTTGGCGACGAAGTACCCTTCTGTCTCATTGTCACATTACTTGCATTGTTTGAGCACACAGAACTGATAGAAACTACAGCTCCCACTTGCTTATACAAAGACTGTATGCAAAAAGTCTATTTCTAGCCTTCCTAGGGGCACTAAAGTTGTAGTGCCCCTACAGAGAGCACTACATGATGCCCTATGTAGTGCCCCATCATGCCAATCATAGATTTCCTGTCTAAAGAGCCTCTCTTGGTTTTTCTTTCCAGATGTCCTTTACCCGTGATATGACAGGAGAAACATCGCTGAGGTCCTTGTTAAAAACTCATCTCTTGGAAAAGGCATATTTCTCTTACAGAGGGACAACAGCAGGAGAAGCTTATAGTGCAGTAATGCCTTTACTGCTTCTCTCTACAGGTGGTATTTTTGTCTAAAGGGGAAAAAATAATAGGGAAATCCTAGCCTCCCTTCCAACCCTGTTGCAAGAACATGTCACCTTGGCAGATGTGCTAGAGGAAAGCTTTCATGGCACCTTACTAAAATAGAGCCAGAGTCAACAAGAAAAACAAAACAACACAACACATAGCATGCGCTTCTGGCCTCCACAGACCAGCTCAGTTCTGATGATGACTGGAAAAACAAGAGCCATCAATCACAGAGGTTTGACACTGCACACAGAAACTGGGCTGCTCACAGCTTTTTACTACTATGTTGGGTGCAATAAGAGTGCCAGCTTCCTGCTGCAGAGCTCCCCAGGGGTGCTCTGAGTGCCAGGGAGTGGGGAGGAAGGGAAGAAAGACTGGGAAAAGAAACAGAAAGCTGGGGGAAGGCAGAGAGTGGAGCAGAGAGGAAGGAGAGAGAGCACAGCAGGGAAGGACACAGTGGAAGGGAGTAAAAGTGCCACAGGAGGAGCAAGAAAGTGGCAGGGAGATTATGAAGAGCTTTTTTGGTAGAGGTAGGCCAGCTAGCTCACTTGCTTTCTACAACCCCTGGCAGAACTCTCCTTCCATCACTGTCCAGCCCATGGCTTAAACAGCAAGCATAATGCTCCCCAGGCATGTCAAATCAACAGCCTGCAGCACACATTGCCTGTGCACAGTGGATACAGAGCAAAGCCAAGAGCAGCACAAGCCTCTCCACACTGACTCCAGGCAAGTTCCTCAGCTTTCCTGCAGCAGTGAGAAAAGACTTAGCATCTCCCACCTGGTTTGAAATCCTTCACATGCACAAGACAAAGCATTTTCCACCACAGAACATACCATCCTGTAAGACAAAGCCATAAATTAACGCAAGACAGGTATCTACAGAGTGGAGCAAAGGTGCTGTGATCATGGAGCACAGGTATAGACACTTCCAATTCCTGCTGTTCTGGGCCAAGAATTAGCTGTCCCCAACCCAGAGCCACCAGCTCTGCCCTGCTCTCCTCAGCTCAGCCATCCGAGCCCCTTCATTCCATAAGTCTGAGAAAAGAGGGATTCTTTTGCACACTTTCAGTACTAGGTCTTTGGTAAGTAGTGTGCATGCAATGAAGTCAAGTTACCTGTTAGCATGCAAGTATCACCAGCCCTCCCACTTTAAGTGTTGTACTCAGTGTACTTAAATATATTGTTAGCAACAAAAACAAGTTCATTATCGAGGTGAGAATAAGTTTTATTGTTTAACCTTTAAAAACAAGTATTATGTTTATATATTTTTTTAAATTCCAACAATCCTTTAATTCTTTCATCAGACCCTAATGTATAATAATAGAGTCTCCACAATCAGTGATATTTGATGCATGCACTTACTGGAAGTAATTTATTACTAATTCTGACAAACAACAAACTGGCAGGTTTGAAAAGCTTTTTGGAGACTTTGTTTGCTACAAAAAAATTATCTGTACAAGAGGGAAACCTTTCCCTTCCACATAGTGGGAACCTGGTCCGAGTGCCTGCCATTTTAATTGTCCAGGCACAGTGTTCTTCCCATTAATTTATAAAAGGAGCTGGCATGGATTCAACAGTCATCCTTAAAACATTACATGTTCTAGTCAAAGTTGAATGTAACCTTCTCTGCAAATGTTTTACTCTATACTTGGAGCTGAGAGCCAGGTTCAGACAGCCCACTGCCAAGTTGAAGGAACCTAAGACAATACAGGTTTTTTTCCTCACACTAACAGAAATTACAAAAATACATGCTCACATCAAGTACAAGTCAGCCTTGGCTTCCACTATAGGGAACGCTAAGTTGAAAGTCACTATAAATCTAGGCATGGAGACTCCAAACTTCCTGATTTCCCTATGTAGATGCATTAGAAATATTATGTTTGTGGCTTAGACTACTAGTTCATAATGAACTGACCACAACTCCCATTCCTCATCCCACTGTGAGGGGAGGAGGTAGAAAAAAAATAGGAGTAATGTTAAACCCAGGAAGAAGGGAGGGGTGGGTTGAAGGTGTTTTAAGAATTGGGTTTTTTCTCATTATCTCACTCTGATCTGATTAGTAATAAATTATTTTTTTCCCATTTTGACTCTATTTTGCCTGTGACAGCTATTGCTGGATGATCTCTCCCTGTTCTTAACTCAACCCATGAACCTTTCATTATATTTTCTCTCCCCTGTCCAGCTGATGAGGGAAGTGACAGAGTGGCTTTAGTGGGCACCCACCACAGATGCATGGTACAGCTGGGATTTCAAGAATCTGTATGGTAGCTGGGCATGCAGTCCCCCCTGACAATGCAGGTTATAACCTCTAGTCTTTTGATAGTGTGGCATTTTTAGGTTTTGCAAGGATACACCAGTTAAAATCCCCGAACACACACCTTCGTAAGTCCTCCAGAGATTTATCTAGCTTTGTGTACTGACATCAATGGGACTTGAAGTGGGAAGGACCAGATGACCTCTGAATGTAGCTTCTACTCTTATTTTTCACTGATTCACCACCTGAAAAGGTCAGCATTGCCTAAAGGCCCTCAAAGCTTGATCCCTCCTCATCTGAAATCAGAGACAGCAGTCACAATACTCACAGCTCCACAGAAATAAGTTCCTGTTTCTGCTGCACTGCTGACCTCTATGTCTTGGGAAGTCTTAGAGAAAGCACACACTAGAGGACTTTCTTTGGTCCACCTGTCTTTTATGTTAGGGTTTTTTCAGAGTTCCTGAACAAACACCGTAGTTTTTGTCTTAGGGTGTATGTCTTTTCTGTAATGCTCTGTAAACATTTTGTGCTCTTCATCAGGTCATATATTTTGAACATATATTCATCTGTGGAAATACAATTAAATGTACCAATTATTGCTCATACACAAAATCATTGAGGATTAAAGGAGGCGTGGTGGGCAGGTAAGAGCAAGGTATATCCCAAGTAAATATGTCAAATAGCAACCAAAATTCCATTAAAGTGGTTAATTTAGAGTTTAACACAGAGAGTTAAACACATAGAGTTTAACACAGCTATCCTTTTTTCAATCAATCAGGTACATCTCCTTCAAGTCACCACAGAAACAGCAGCAAAATGCATTGTTGATGAATCATTATGACTACAAAGATACAGGTATTCCCCCGAGGTTTCGGTACTGTCTCTCAGGGAGCATAGGATGCACTGGCTCTGCAGATGGCCTTGAGGGGAAGACTGCCTTATTTCCCAAAGTAACCCCAGATGGAAAACAAAGCTACAATCATTTTAATAACCAAGATATGGTAATTTTTGCTGTAGCCTGGCCCAGATGAGAGCCTGGCACTTCCAGCATGTCCTTGCTCTCACGGCAGCAGCAGAGGATATGGTGCTTCTGGCAAGCCACAAAACAGAGCAGCAGTTCAAACAAGTCCTCCCTAACCAGTAAAAGCAGCCATTTCAAAAGCTCTTTCTCCAACACCACTTCATTTTCTTCTCCTTCTTCTTACAAGGGAGGAAAAAGGAGCCCAAGAACAAGGGAAATAAGAGACATGCCTATTCTTACTCTGCAGCATTGTCCTTGTAAGCCAAATTCAAGAATTCCTGGAAGATTGTGATCTTCATATAGGGTAGTTTTCACAGGTTTCGGTGGTTTGCACCAGCAGAGATTTTTCCCCTTATAAGGTATTTCTGGGCCAGACTTTCACCCTCTTAATTTCAAGTTCCTATTCAGGAAACTCAGAATAATAAATAATGTCCCAGGGCAAGTTCTAAAATTACATAAAAATGTAAACAAAACTTACATACTGTCTTGACTCACTAGAAATATTTTGATTTTATTCATGTGGAACAAGGTCAGAACCTGCCTGTTCATCTCAAAGCAAGGAACAAAGTGACCTATACCTCCCAGCAAATGCAACATATGCTGCCATTCAGCATCACTTGTTGGAAAACAGGCCTTTTATTCAGGATTTTTCTTTTCAGTTGCTGTAACAATCGAATCAACAGGAGCTTGCCCTTTTAAAACTCTATATTGAATTATTTCTTTTAACCAGACAGAATACAAGATGTACATAGTCTAGTAAGGGTAATAACACTTAATGAAGAACTTCTCAATGGTTAGTGTATTCTCTTGAAAACGGAGTAAAAAGATGTTATGAAATGCAGAGAGGATTTGTCTGACATAGTTCACCATGTGAACACAGCACAATGTTTGGCATAGAAAGAGTCATACAGCATTTATACCATGTCAATGCCATAGCACGTGTCCCATGAAAGAGTATGAGGAAAATATAAGAACAGCACTGCCAGAGGGCTTCATGCAAGGAGCTCTAGAGGTCTGTGAATGTATGACACACAGGTACTGCTTCCAAGGCAATCTCCAAGGAATCGATTTCAGTGCTTTTTCCTCCCGACACAACCACCTTTACTGACTTCCTATTGGTCTGTCTCACTTTTGCTTGGAGGTTGCTCTCCAAGGCCACAGTTTCTTGAGGAGGGCATTCCATATCACTTAGGCTTCCCTGGCAGCATTTTGGATAGCTTAGAAAGCATCTGAAACTATCGCTGCACTTTGCATGGGAGAAATAAGAACATTCTTCCACAATTGGCAGAGAATTACAAGTGGATTCGGTTTTGCCCTTAAAAGTTCTGTGGGTGGTGTTCATAGCTGATCTGTAATTCTGCGGGGCCTTGACAGAAAACCAGCTCCTGGTGAGCAACTGTTGAAGAACTGTGAAATCTTTGGCAATGGTCTTTCGGAAACTGGGCTTCAGGAGAAGATAGATAACTGGATTGTAGAGTGTGGAGGACTTTGCAAAGACAGCTGGCACAGCAAAGGCTAATGGAGGAATCTTATCTATTGATCCAAAAACCGCCCACATGGCAATGACTGCATAAGGGCTCCAGGCAGCAAAAAACCCAATGCAGACAGCAACACTCAGCTTGCAGAGAAAAGGACAAAACAGCAAGTTAAAATTTGCACACATAAAGAAAATAGCCAACAAAATAATATATTAATAAAAATACCATCTGATTGAACCCCTTTGTTAAAAGTCTCCCCCAAGTCTTCATGACAGCTCAGCTGCTCCCCAAATGTGCATTTTCTAGCAACTTAATTCTGTCTGAAACCTACTTCTACCTGAAACATTCAGAGAACAAAAGCCACACATCAACAGCAAGGAGAAAGGTTCATAAGTGAATATGACTTTCACACTGTGAAACGGTTTAACTACACAATTTCATTACATCTCTGTGTGATTGATTCAATTATCTCTATGCTGTACATGATGGACAGATGTCAGTTCTGGCCTTGGATTTCCGCCTATGAAGGTGATACCACCTAAGGCAGCAGCCACCTGTGCACCACTACACAATGAGATCTGGAGAGGACAACAGGCATGCTGGATTACAGCCAAGCCTTTCTGTAATTTCACTCTAAGCTTGAGCCCAGCATCCCTAATAAAAGTGAAGAAGAGTCATATTGCCTACTTTTAGCCTCAGCCCATAAACACGCAGCTACTAAAACTGCACTAACAGCAAAGTGTATAGAACACAAGGAAATCAAGCATAAAGTTGCGTGTCTGAACAGCGTGATGATGTGACTTAAAAAAATATGTTCAGGACTCATAAAAGAAAAATAAAAAAAACCAAAAAAAAACAACAACAAAACAAATGTTGCTATGGACACTATTCCAAAAGGCACTAAAGTAACTCATTACAGTTTATAGCAAGTACAGCCAAAGGTTTACAGTTCAAATCCCTTAGAGTTAACAAGAAGATTATTTTAATGAACTGTAATGGACTCTCAGTAATTATTTATTTTACCATGGAAGTAGAAAGACAGCTGAGAGATGTCTTTTCATAACTGCACATATGCATGGAAATTTCTAACACTGTTTCTTATCGAAGTGACCATCTAGTCCTGTGCTCTGCAGCAGTATGAAGAAAAGGGAATGACTTCTTCCCACATCTTGCAAGCCAGATTTTTATCATTTGTATTTCCACTCAAAGGTCTCACTGACAAGAAGAATCCCTATAGCCTTACTCATTCTACAGGGATGTGAGAAAAATCTGATCACAGGATACATAGTGTCTTCTATACATCCAGCACACATTATGACTGAGAATTTTAACGTAAATTATGTACTTTGCCAAATATAAATAATTTCATAACACGTAAAAATTTATGTAAGTGTAGGGATACAGTAACATAATAACTTCCCAAGGTGAGGCAAGAACTGTGATTCACCCTTGCTCTGCCTCTTAGCCTAGACAGGACTTTACTGTAGCTTGTGAACAAGATGATTTGGCATGAAGGAGCTTTCAAAAATCTTTTTAAATTTTGCCCTTGTGTGTAGGCAAATCCTATATACAAAAACTTCTTCAAAATATCTCCTGAACAGGCAAATAAAAACAATTAAAAATGACAAAAAAAATTTCCCTGTCTGTCAATCAAGCACAAGGATAATGCTCCCACACCAAATGTGTCACCAAAACTGCACAAGACAATGCTGTTGTCCAAAATGAAAATGCATTAAGGACTAATTTTCTTTTCCATTCTTATTCCCTTCTCAGGAACTTTCATGGTCTTTAAATGGTGCTGCCCAGCTGTGCCAAAACCAGCTTGCCGAAGACTAACTTTCAAATACCTTGATAGTAATGGTTTGCACACTGCTCATCCTGGCAGGGCCGGAGACATGCTGTTCCACTGCTTTCCTGGATTCTTTCACAGTTACCAGAATAAGAGAGTAGGAAGTCACAATTACTCCGCAAGGGAGAACAAAACAGAAAACAAAGAGGACTAATGTGTAAGACATGGCCATGGCGTCTACATTGGTGGAACGCCAGTCAATGCAGCAGGCTGTGCCATATGGCTCTGCTCCATATTCTCCCCAGTGAGCTAAGGGAGAACAGGCAAAAACTGCTGCGTAAGTCCAAGCACAGGCTATCAAGATTTGTCCATGTTCTCTCTTGAACCTGTTCCCTAGAAGACACAAAATAATCAGTGAAGACCAGCATTGCTGACGTGTCTGAATGGAGTTTCCCATAAGCAGGCGACTGAGCAGTGTAAGTAAGTAGGTTAACTTTACTAGATGTTCAAAATACTATACCATATGGAAGGTTTGTAAGAAAAGGGCATGGTTTGCAACAATTTGCAAAAACATCAAGTAGCTGAATTTGCTGATACATCTAGAACACTTAGCACAACAGAAGACCTTATAAATACATATCAAAATGTACCACTAAATTCTGAAAAACTTATTTTATTCAGGCTAGCTTTGGTTTCAGATCAGAACTCTTATTCCATGTTTCCAAATTATCAATCTGACTTAAAAGAGCTTATAAATAACCACCTGCATACACCTAACCCTACAGTTTATTTTCAGTGATCATAGAAATAAGAATTGTTTGACTGGATGTAAAAAGTCTCTTCTATAAAAATACTCTCTAGGATATACAACCTAAAAATAGCGGTCTATATATGTGTGAAAAAATCGAGTACATAAGACATAAATATTAGCTTACCATAAGGTGGAAAACAAATTTTGAGGCAGCAAACAGTGCTCAGTAATGTCAGTGTTGAGAGACTACAGATCCCAAACAGCACTCCACAAAATGCATAGAACAAGCAAATCTGTTTCCCATACAGCCACCTAGCAAACAGCCAAGAAAGTTAATTATTGTATGCAATGCTTCTTTCTTAAATGTAATGTTAAATTGTAGAAATAAAGTTGTAGCCTTAAAAATTCAATAAAACTGCGTGATAAAGTTATATTTTGGTCAATGATCAACTACAAAGGATATTCTCATTTGAAAAACAGCCACTAAAGTAATCATGATCTGCTTTATTTTTATGATTCACATTTAAGCTATTTTTATAAACCAAATTCTATCTTAATAAGAATCATTCTGAAAAGAAAAAAAAACAAAAATTCCTGTCATTAGTAGGCCTAGGTCATGAATTAATACCAAAATATTACCAACACCATCCTATCCCAAACCCTGCTGAACAACTAGTAAAAGCCAGTTCTGGTCTTCCTTCACCTTTCCTACCTATTTCTCTTCTCTCAAAGGCTTTCATACTGCCTGCATAGCACAAATACTATCTGAGGTCTAGTAATGAGCTCCTAAGCCTCCCTGATTTTAAAAGAAGATCACAACAAATAGATCTTGCATAATGATATAAAGTTGCATTCATGTGGATAGAGGGGAGAGAGTGTGGAAGGAAAGATGAAGCTCCACATTCAAAGTGCTGCCCCAAAAATTAATCCAGAACTCTACATTTCTACACACCATCACTACCACTACTTTTGGACATAATGAGTAAATTCAGGGTTTTCTTGATATAGTACTAAATTTCACTGTCCAGTTATGAAAGAAAGAAAATGAAGCATTTAACCATCACTTGAGTAATACTACCCACAAAGGATAAATGCAATAGGAAGCGGATGTTTGAAATAAAGTCCTTTCAGCCCTGCAGAAATCAGAAAGATAATAACCTCAAATAGACATGAACACTAATTAACAACAGCAGCCCATAAATCTCCTGTTACTGAGCATGCTGCTTCCAATCCCTATAATTAATTCCCACTTTTATGACAAGCAAAGTGGCAGAGTAATTCAGTCTTCATTGCTGACACAGCCCCCCAAAGCCTGCAGAGGGTGTTAAATATCACGTGCATAGTGAACAAACCTGTGTGAAAGGCTGGAGGTTACAGCTAGAGGGTACAATGTCAGAGTCATGCCAAGGTCGCTGATGGCAAGATTAATAATTAAATATTCTGCTGGTTTCAATAAACTCCTTTTCTTGTAGGAGACATATAGGAGAATACTGTTCCCACACACGGAGCATATTCCTGCAGAGAAACATAGAATACGGAGAAAAAGTTATTGTCAGCCATCTGTGTTTTTTTCCCTGCAGAAAATAATGTGCTGTCATCATAGGTAGCATTCATCAGATAAACTTATCTCTCTCTTATATTTGCAGTTATTTCTTCCTTTAAACTACCAGTATCAAAACCTACAGTGGTTAAACAAACTTAGTCAAGAGTTAGGTGACCATCAGTTTAGAAGGTCAGACAACAATCAAAACCCAGAATTTTAGGCAGCCTTTCATGGATGCACAAGAACACTTTCAAACGTAAAAGTTTCAGAGGACAAGAGAATGCCGACTGAATGGGAGGGTCCCTTAAATAATGCAATGTGAAATCGAGCTGTTGAAGAAAAACCAAGTGCTTTTGTGAACCTTACTGCCTGTTCTTGCATATCTTTGGAAAAAGCAGCACTTTGACTGAGGTAAACAAATTGCACAGAGCTCGCAAACCAACATTGGTTTTGGATTATGCCCATAAGAGAATATGCCTCATTTAATCATACTTGTGTAGGGAAAAAAAGGCATAATTTCCCAAATATTCTACAGATTATAATTCTTCATAAGGAAATGGCAGATTAGGAAGTAATGTTAGACAGTGATACAATTTCTTTCCATCACTGATCTCCTTAAATCCATTTAAGATATTTACAATTTAAAATCTTCTGGAGAGAGAAAAGATATTCCTGAATTCTACTCTTAGAAATGTGTAATAGTTTTGTCCCAAAGATTTTTTTTTTCCCAAGACTTCAAAAAATAACAATAAAAAGACAGTAAAAGACAAAAATTTTGTTTAAATGATGATTTCCTTTTTTTTTCCATATTTTGTATTTTTTTAACCTTTCAGTTACATTTCAGTCTGATTATCACTTGGTGTCTCTAAAATGAACGTTTCCTAAGTAGAATCAGGTTAGCTGAGATCAAGCAGCACAGATCATCAGACTACCAGAATATGCTCTCTCACTGCTCTGAGTAAGATTAATTTTAACTAGAACATAAAAGTTGTAGCCATATCAGACATATCAGTTATACTAAATATCATCAGTGGCTATATTACAGAAGAATTAATCAACTTTTCCGAGAAAAACCTCTATTTTATTTTGGGAGCTTATTTCCCACGGTGTCTGTTCTTGCCTGGATTACTAGCTCAAGTCCATATACAGTTTTCTAGCATTCATCAACTGACATTATAGTCACTCCAGGATCTGATTGTCTATATGGTCAAAGCCATCCCTTTTCACATGTTTCCACTGTGAAATTCCTGAAGGGAGAGATGGGAACAGGTTTTATCTGAAACAGGTTTTTTCCATTTTAAGAGTGTAATTTCTCTTTTAGAAAGAAACAAACTTTACTTTTACAGTCAAGTCTCCTTACCACTTCAGATACGGCCATACCTCTATATCATGAAATCACACTTACCAAAAACCATATAACATACTCCGACAAATATATCAGCTGTCTCCGTTATTTTCGACTGGAATGTTGTGTTACCAAAAGATGGGCCCATCTGAAAAACAAAACAGGATGCAGCACAGCTTTACATGTTTAGCTTGAAGGCACCATGGGAAATGTCAAATTAAAAGAACCTGGAGAAATGAAGTAATCTTTGCAAACAGCTAGAGCACCCAATTCACACAGCACTTAAACCAACTGTGTTTTAGCTGACTGCTGTGCATCCACATTAAATAATAATCTCATAGCTGCATTTCTTTCCTGGAGTGTAATAAGCCACAGTATCTAAATTCAGCTTGTTCATCTTCCTTACACTTTCCTATAAGCTGCTTATTCTCCCAGTGGTCCATCACTTGTTTCTACACAAAAACCTCTTTGCTCAATTGCTATAATACAAGACACCCCCACTGAAACCAAAGGGGCTAAATGTTTGCTCACCAAGTGTTCACAAAGGAAAAAGTTCAAGACTCATGCAAAACATTACAGATAATTATATTTTAACCTTTATACCAATATTTGTTGCATTCATTAAGAAAAGCAGTAACAGCAAGATTCCACACGAAAAGACAGATCTAGCATTTTCCCAGTGGCCAGTGCTGCCAGCATGTGACTGCCCTCAAGAGACAGTAACAAAAATAGTGACAGGACATCCATCTACTTTTTTCATGAGGCAACCTATTCACAAACAAAGGCTGAGCTCATATCAGACGTTAGTGCTGGGGTTTCAATGCTCTCTCTTATCAAAGGCAAATTTCATATTTGTTAAAAGGAAAGATATTCTACTGTAGAGAGCACAGTTCTTCAGCTTATCATGAGCTCTGGAAAGCTACTTTAGATTCTGATTTTCCAAAGCAGTCTGTTGCCTTGTCAGAGGTTGACTTTCTTGGGGTTTACCTGTGTTGTTCTTTGAATGAATTTTGGAGAATCAAATCCCATGCTGAGAAAAAACAAGTTTTATTCCAAGTGCCCAGTGCTGGCTGGATGTAGGCGGAGGAGCATTTAAGCCAGAGCTTCCATATTTCATGAGATTCATTCAGAAATGACAAAACTGGACTGATATCCCTGGTATACGCAGTGTGCCTCATCAAGAAAGCATCCAACCCTACTCTTAACTTAGCTTTGATGAGAGTAACCCCCATTTCCCTCAGTAGATAAGAAAGCTCTCACTCAGAAATGCCAAGATGTTTTTTTGTTGTCACTGATAATATGGCTCTTGCTTTTCTCATTTACTTTTCCCCTGTTCCAGTAATATCACACTTTTCACCTGCCACTGAAAATCTCTTAAATGAAAGTCACTTCAAGGTCGTTGTAGCCTATTTCACTCTAAGAAATTAATACAAACAATAATTCATCTTTACGCGCAAAGCATTTGTGATAATTGGTAGTTACTATTTTACTTCAAATCAGGCTACTGCCATCAACATATGACTACAGAAGAACTACAAGTAGAAAAATTTCCAAATGCACTTTCAGTAATAATTTTATTTTTATACTAAAGAAGTATTACATTCAGACTTGTATGAAGCTTTTTCAAAAAACCCATTTCAAAATGGGTTCTGAACTCTCTTCAATCACCTCTATCTATTAAACACAAGACATAAAGCCAAACTATTCTGCTCCAGTTAAAAGAATGTCAGAAATCTCATTTTTTTTTAAAGAAAGGTTTACTTCTTAGTATCTCTGACCCAAAAGAATGAGCCAACAGAAGATACACACTTCAACTTTGATGATTTCATAGTGCATGAAAGTCCCGAAATAAGTAGCACAAAAGAAGCTGTTACCAACAAACATGGGATTGTTTTCTTCTTCTGCTACAGCCATGCTTGTGAAGACTTTGGAAGTCATCATACCGACTGCTGTAGAACTGTATTAGACAACAATTACCCGTTCACATGGATGAATAAAAATTTCTGTATACAGATTTCTACTCTGTCTTTTTGCTCACTCCCATTGCCATTTCAGCATGTAGGTGGGCTGGTTCTGCATGCACATGCGAGGTCCTATCATTGCTCAGCTTTATGGCAAATTCTTTTGGAAATTAATTTAGTTTTCACCCTGGTTATAGAAAGTCATATTTTTTGAGCACAGGACTGCAATCATGCTCATCTCCGACATCATGTCATTCCACTTTCTATAAATAACAATTGCTGGAAGGACTAATTAGAAGTCAAAGAGCATTGTGCCTTGTGTGCAGAATCTTATCCACGAATGCACAAGGGCTTGTTCTGCAAGAAAAAACAAGGATACATTTCAAAAGTTCTAATATCAATAAATTACCTTGAATTACTCTTTTTTTTTTAATGCTGAATGTCAGATAATAAACTTCTATTTGTCCTTCCAACCACATTAAAGGCATCCACATGAATCAAATACATTATGATGCGAAAAGTTGTACAAAGAGAATGACAACCTATATGCTTGCAATGAGGCATATCAGGAGAAATCCCTAAGCCCCAGTGTAGCAGTACTGCTACATATGCGCCATACTACAGAAAGGGAGAACAGCTTGAAAGAAGAGGGCAATTTTAAGTAGATCTGTTGAATTTAATAAATAAGAACAGAATAAAATAGAGAAGAAAAAAAACTCAAAAAAAAAAAACCAACCCAAACCCCCAAAACAAACCCGCTGTCTACATTGCTAAGACCAGAGTAAGTATTTCTACATTTCCACCCCCAAAAATCAAAACAGAAATTTTCCACCAAGTTTCTCTGTACTGAGAATTTATCCCAGATTCAGAGATACAAGTGACCACATAAGAGACCTCTCCTAAACAACCTCTCATAATAGACTAATGGAGGTCACAACACGATCACCATCTGACATAAGATATTGTACTTCACAACATTGAAGCAATCACGTAAGCTTGACCTAAAACACAAGGTCCAGCACAAGCCTTAGGAAGCCACTCAGAAGGCTAGCTGGGGAAGGAGGAGATGAAGCTTTAGTTCTGTCATTTGTCTTACCCAAATTTCCAAACACAATTCCCACATCAGCACAAAAGTACAAAAAATAAGTCACTCTTAACCTTTCCTTGACAATTTAAATAGAATGAACTCCAGAGGTTTAAGACAGAGGCTGTTGCCTTCCACCTTCTACAACATACCAATCCATTATCTAGAACTTATTGAGATCAGCACCATCTCTTAGGAGCTTTGGGTCCACCAGCCTTTGTTTTCAATATGTCCGATAGTGCTGCCTTATTATTAAACTCTACACTCTAAATTTTCTTGAGGAAACGCTTGATCAAAATCTTGCAAATTCAGAAAAGCACGGAATCTGAGCCCTTACCTCTGCCAGGAACATTGATGGATGTGGAGTACATTTCAAGAAGCATTCTTCCGGAAATGCAGCGTTATCTACAGACTGTTTAGGAACTTATCCCATTATTTTCCAGGCCAAACTGGATGGGGCTTCGAGCAACCTCGTCTAGCGGAAGGTGTCCCTGCTCATGGCAGGGGTGGTGGAACTAGATGATCTTTAAGGTCCCTTCCAACCCAAACCATGCAATGGTTCTATAAATCTATGTTGGAACAGTCTGTCCTTGCTTTCCAAAATTAGAATGTTTTCAGCCTTTCAATTTCTCTATAACCAAAGAAAAACTGATTTACAGATTCAGTTAATCTAGGCACACTATAAAGAAGCATATTACTATATTGTTGAATAAATGAAGTAAATAACCAGGTCTTATTGCAACTTTATTATTTGCAAACAAGTAAGCTGAATGTGCAAAAGCTCAGAACAACTAAACACTGTGAGTTGCTGCAGAATTTTATTCTGTCAGCACTGTTTCTCCAGGAGAGATCAAATCAAACTGAAGAAAGGGAAAAGGCAGTAGCTACATGTATAGGGCTGAGGTGATCAAGGCACTGAAGAAGGTGGCTGACAAAGTTGCTTGCTACAGATAGTAGAAATATTGCGCCTCCTTACGACCCTGAAAGAGTAATCCAAGCTGCACATCAGGTCTTGCTATTATGGTCTGTTATATATATTAAGCTATTTTCTTCTCATTAATTTTTTTCCTCACATTTACACTTAGAATAGTGTACACTTATCTTCTTCATAAGACTTTATGTAACCGCACCTTTTGCTCCACTATCAGTTCTTTCCCATTGCACATGCATCTTTGCTTAACAGCACTGCTCTTTCAAAACCTCGGGATATCTGTCCCACTACAGCTGAACTAGCAAGTTGTCATGATTTAACCCCAGCTCTCAACTAAGTGCCAACCAGCTGAAACCAAGACACAAGCCTGACACCTCTTTTGCTGTTGTCACTATGGCTTAGGCAGAAAGTCATGTCAAGGCAACAATAAACTATTATCTTTTCATTTACAAGACGGTAGCTGGAAATACATCCAGTGTAGCCAATTTCCTACCTCACTGCTGCTCTGTCTGGTCTGACACAATGTATGCCCTAGATTTACAAAGCATCCAAGATTTCATTTACATCTTTACTTTTATTTTTTACCCTAACCCTTTTATGTCATAAACCACGTTAGCATCCTAAATGGGGCTAGTTTAGACCAATACTTTCACCCACCCACACTGTGAATCAAGCCAAGCTTGCATTTCTTATGGGAGTGACAAGTTTATACTTCACACTGCAGTTTCTGAAGTACTCCTTCAGGGCTATACCCCCTGTTTTGTAACAGTGTTGGTCACTGAAACCTGACACCCAGTTACAGTTTATTAAATTTATCCTTAATTTCAACTTTATTAGTTTTCAACTCTGGATGAGGTATAGTGCAATCTCATTCTGTTTCAGTGCAATTCAGTTTTGGCAGGTGAGGGCAGCAAAGACTTCTTCAGACTTCCAATGCTTATCCGTTTTTCCCAGCATATGAATAAAACACTAAGTAAGTTTGGCAAATCTACTCCAGACTCAGATTCAAATAATTTGTGTTCAAAGCCTGTAAAAGGAACTATTTGTTAAAGAATAAACAAGTACAGTTAAACAGATCTCAGATCAACCCAGCCAGTAAGCACCGATTCCAGTGAGGTTTTACCATTTACCCTTTGAAACAATACACAGAGAAAAAGAGCGCAGAAGTGTTTACCTGGAAGCCCTACTCTTGCCACACTTCAGGCACTGCGGCAACAATGTGGAGAGGCAGGATGTTTGGAAGGACAATTTCAAACTCCTGTCATTAGACTGTGTTAGCCTGGACTGGCAAAGATTTTGTGTTCCTTTCCCTCTGGCCGTTACTGTAATGAATTAAAAACAGAAAAAACACACCCTTGTCTTATTCTATGA